TAGTGAACTCGTTCAGCAGCAACAACAGCAAGAAACGGAACATACACTCAGTCTTTTTGAAGAACTGATGGAATCTTCAGAAATACAGTCAGCAAGACAGTCACTATCCAGTAGCAATAGTATTAACATACCTAGACCTTTAAATTTAGGCAGTAGGAAATTAAAGAAATATACAAAAATTCATAAATTTATTAAGAAAACTGATAGATTAATTAAGAAAAATAATAGCTTCTACAAAAATATTGCCTTAAGGAAGGAACGCATGAATCTTTTGGATTCCATAGAAATTTATACAATGCATAAAGTAGATAGTTTTACCAATTTAATCATTTTATGTGGTGACAGCTCTGACATTAGAAAAAGGGACATATTGAATAGTTTTAATGTATTATTAAAGTTACAAGGAGAAACTAACTGCAAATTAATAATCAGCGCTTTCCCTTATGCTAAAAATTTGACGTTGGATGAAAATAAGCGCATCTTTGATTTAAATACATACTTGTATAATTTGATTAATCGTCATAGTGACGTCATTTTGTTTTTTGACATTAATAAATTTATTAGTAATTTTAAACTGACTTCAGATACTATGTATCTTTCAAAGAAATCTCGGACACAATTAGCTAATTTGTTAGCTTTTAATTTACAAATTGTAATTACTTCTTTTAAAACTGACATTAGTACTTGTACTAATTCAAATCTTTTGATAAATTGTAGTTCTACAATAAACTCTTTAGATTTAAACTGAAGCGTATGACAAAAGCTAAGCCCCATTATGTCAATATTATTCACCAAAATATCCAGGGCTTGGCCGGCAAAGACTTAGAGTTAGAATTATTAGCTAAATCATAAAACTCATATCATGTGCATAACTGAACACTGGCTGCAACAACATGAAATGTCATTTTATTTAAACAATTTTCAACTATCCAGTGCATTTGTACGCAGGGCAGCTATTCATGGAGGGTCTTTAATTTTTGTAAAACATCATGTAAAATGTAAGGAAAGAAAGGACATTGTAAGCCTTTCAGTGGAACGCCATGTTGAGCTGTCGTGTGTAGAGTTAGTAAATTTTTGTATAGTATGTGTATACCGGCCCCCCTCAGGAAACTTTGGTACATTTGAATCAGTCATGGAGGACTCTCTCAATAAATTAAAAAATAAATCTGTAATAGTATGTGGTGATTTTAATGTCAATCTACTTGAAAATAGCTCTTTGAGTCTTCGGTTAATTACTTTGTTTAAATGTTTTAATTTAAATTTCCAGTTTACTGAACCAACCAGAGTAACATCTCACTCAGCCACTTGTTTAGACAACTTTTTTTCTGAATTGGATGCAATTGAAAAGTCAGTCTTTAGTGATATTACTTCCGATCATCTCGGTTTAAAGACAACATATAGTTTCAATGTCAGTACTGAGCCGAACATAATAGAGTGTAGACCTATAACAAATGAGCGCGTTAATAATTTTAAAAATAACATTAGCGATAAACTTCCTTTAATGCCTTGGACGCATGATGATCCGGATATTTTGTACAAAAATCTTTTTAATTTAATAAATAATGAATTTCAAAATACGTTCAGACTGAAAACCATTAAATGTACACAGAAGTTGCAGTTCTGTGACTGGGCGACAAGTGGTATATATAAGAGTAGAACAAGACTGTATGAGCTTTATAGAATCAAAGAATATAACCAGGATCCTGAGTTTATTAATTATGTTAGAAAATATTCCAAATTGTTTAAAAGCATATGTAATACTGCAAAGTCCAATTTTATTAGGGATAAAATTAAAAAATCTAGTAATAAAATAAAGACCACTTGGGATATCATTAAGCGCGAAAGTGGCAAGTGTAAGCCTCGTGAAAATAGCATGGTTCTTAAAATCAATAATAATCTCGTAAAATCGAAACATGAAGTCGCAGATATTTTCGATAATTTTTTTATGAATATACCATTAGAAACTACTTCCAACTTGGACTCATCGTCTGATACTGCTACAGCTCTGTTACAAAAATATGTACCTCCGTGTGGTTTATTATTTAATTTCAAGCACGTTAGTTCTTTTGAAATAATTAAAGTTTTCCATTCATTAAAAATGAAAAATGCATCTGATTTATGGGGTATATCTGTCAAAGTCATAAATAATATTATACATTCTATAGCCCCTTACCTAGCTGATATTTTTAATTCATGTATAGATCAGGGAGTATTCCCTGATCTCATGAAATTCAGTAAAATCATACCTTTATTTAAGTTTGGAAATTGTAAAGATCCTAGCAACTATAGGCCAATATCTATATTACCAGCATTGAGTAAAATCTTTGAAAAAATAATGTTAGAACAATTGTTGACTCATTTTAACATTAATAAACTTTTACACAGAGCGCAGTACGGTTTCACTAAAAACCGTTCCACGACTGATGCTGGGGCCACTATGCTAAAATATATATTTAATGCTTGGGAAAAGTCGCAGAATGCTCTTGGGGTTTTCTGCGATTTATCTAAAGCGTTTGATTGCGTTAATCATCAAACTTTGTTACGAAAATTAAATCATTACGGCATAAAAGATTCCGCACAAAAATTAGTGCAATCATATTTAACAGAAAGGACACAAATAGTTGATATTAACGGTACAAAATCAGCCGGATCTCATGTGAAAATAGGCGTTCCTCAGGGTTCAATTTTAGGTCCATTTCTTTTTTTAATTTACATTAATGATTTACCTTTCTTTGTAGAAAATTTTTGTGAAATTGTTTTGTTTGCAGATGACACCTCGCTAATTTTTAACGTTGACAGGTGTAAAACAAATTATGACGATGTAAACAATGCACTTTCCAAGGTACTTCACTGGTTCTCTTCTAATAATCTTAAACTGAATGCGAGCAAAACTAAATGTGTGAAATTTACTTTGCCGAATGTAAAGCATGTTGAAATGGGGGATATAATTCTAAATGGTGAAAAACTAATTTTAGTCGATACAACCGTTTTCTTAGGCGTAACACTAGACCACAAACTTCAATGGAACCCTCACATTACAACACTAGCCGGTAAACTAAGTTCTGCTGCTTATGCAATTTATAAAATAAGACGGCTTACAGATGTCGACACTGCTAGGACAATATACTTCAGCTACTTTCACAGCATTATGTCGTATGGCATTCTATTATGGGGCACGGCCGCAGACATTGAAACAGTTTTTATTCTTCAAAAACGAGCTATAAGAGCTATTTACCGCTTGGGATCTCGAACTTCTCTTAGGGATAAATTTAAAGAAATAGGTATAATGACTGTTGCCTCTCAATACATTTACAATTGTATATTGTTTGTGCGTCAGAACATAAATTTATATACGAGGCGCGATGATGTACATAATTTCAATACCAGAAATAAAGATAAACTAAAATTGCCACCATTGAGACTCCAAAAGGTTCTTGGTTCATTTGTGGGTCAAGGTATATGTTACTATAATAAAATACCAAAAGAAATAATTAATTTACCTTTTAATAAGTTTAAAGTGTGCATAAAAACATATCTCCTTAAGAAAGGTTACTATACTGTAAAAGATTTCATAAATGATAAGTCACCTTGGGCTTAACATAATAGACTGTCGTTTTACTTTGCTAATTTGGTTGAAAATTGTTTAATCGCCACTTCTAAATTTAAAAATAGTACCTAGTTATACCTAACTTTTGTTAATTAATAATATTAATGTGATGGAAGTTGAAATCAACACATGTATTCAATTTTTGATGTCATCTTTCAATTGACGACACTGTGTGAAACAAAACAGGGAGAAAAAAATAGCCCTTGCTGAGTTTCTTGCCGGTTCTTCTCAGTACAAGGTCTCCCGCCGTAGATTTACGAACCGATGGCGTAGCGTTTGACTTTCACAAGAGCTTGTAACAGCCTAGACTGAATAAATGAGTTTGAATTTGAATTTGAATTTATATTTTATTTAATGAGTGATGTGCGTGAAAACTTAAGGAACAAAAAGTTTTATTTATTTAATTAATTGTACATGTACAGTATATATATATAGGATCTTAAAATTATTTTAGCATGGTACATGACCCTGTCAGGGTGTTGCAAGTACAATAACTATATCAACACAACTACTGAACAGTTTCAGTTTCAATCAAGTTAGTGAGCTTTCCGTGACAGTTTCACTTATCATTCATAAATTCATTTACCGAATAGTATGCTTTAAGTTAATAGATTGCCTGTATTTTCTTTACAGAGCATCATGTGATATGTTAATCATCTAATCGTGGCGTAGATACAGTGCTGTGAAGTTGCGAATTAACCTAACTAGATGGCGCTGGCTGTTTATCACCAAACCACAGATATTGTACAATTGGTACCTACTGTACCAGATCAAGATCAACGATGAACGCCCATTTGCAATTTTACGGGGTTTTTTGTATAAATGGAAATTGATTTGGATGTGGGCTCTGAAAATGCTTGCTTACAATCCTAAAATCTTGTTTAACAAGTCAAGCCTGCAACCAATTTCTCTCTTATTTTTTGATTAGTCCGCCATCTCGTTACCAGGCATAGCATTGCAGCTGCATGGACACACACACACACAAACACACACACACACACACACACACAAACACACACACATACAAACGCGCACACATACTTCATAAAGTTATCATGTGACAAATTCTTGAAAACCCTTTTATATGAATATTCAGTGTTTGTGTTCTTTTTTTTGTCCTTTTGTTATGTTTTGTCCAATCTTAATTTTATTTTATTATTTATGTTAGTGAATTATATGATTTTTACACAATTTTTAAAATTAAATTTAATGTAATAATTACTGACATATAATAACGCCGTTAGTATCTACGTGTGTACATAATGAGTTTCTGCAATTGGCCTTAGGATTGTATCTATATTTTTATTGTATTAAATTTCACAAAAAACCGCTGTAGAAACTTTGTTAAAGATAAATAAATTAATTAATTACATAAAAAATACCAAGCACTCACCTCTTCTTCTAAGGCGACAGGGAACTGAGTGAGTGGCTTCACCGCTACATCTTCCAAAGCAGATTTTCTCCTAAAATAAGTTTAAATTTTGAATAATGGCCATAGTATTAATTACAACGCTGGAAACATTATTAGCAACAATTCTTGCCTTTACAACAATAACTATTTATATATCAGAACAGTACCCCTAGCACGAACCAATACCGAATTCGTATCGTTTGCGAGACCGAAATGTCATTGTCAAATGTGTACTGATTTTTAGTTCTCGTTACGTACTTTGTGCCGGAACAGCAGGTTCAAGTTTCCATACAAAATTTGACATTGACATTTCGGTTTGCAAACTATTCGAATTCGATAATGGTTCCTGCTAGGGGTACAGTAATGAACATTTTTCACGTTACGCCCATGTGGAATAGTCAAATAGTCAAGGAAGCGAAATAGTCAAGACACATATTTTGACAGTTAGGGCGTGGAGTGTTATGCCGCAATTACATTTGCTCGTTAGCCCGTTTTCAGGTGCACGAAAGACATTACTCGAATTCGGACACCCGAAGCAATATTTACACTGGACTACGGACTGGAAGATGCTGACGGGTACACAAAAAGAAATCTATCCGAATACAGGCGTACTCATCATCATCATCATCATCATCCCATTAATGTCCCCACTGCTGGGGCACAGGCCTTCTCTATGGATGGAATAGGGAGATTGGGCCATGACCCACCACGCGGGCCCAGTGCGGATTGGTGGGTGCTAACGACTGCAAATGCAACCGGGACCAACGGCTTAACGTGCCTTCCGAAGCACGGAGGAGCTCGATATAGTGAATTTTTGGTCACCCATCCAATTACCGACCACTGCGAAAGTTGCTTAACTTCAACGATCGCAGCCGAACGCGCTAACAAGTTGCGCCATCGAGCTCCTCGGGCGTACTCACCTCCGTTCATTTACGACTAAGTAGTCGTTTACCCGAATTCCATTGGCACCCGTATTCGGGCTAAAGACTAAGTCTATTCGCGCCATTAAAAGCTTGGCTCTTATGACATGTGAACCTTTTTGACAGTGTCTCGTCTAGGTAACATTGTACATTGAAATGTTTTTAGAGGTATTTAGGTCAATATTACGAAGGCTAAAGTATCTCCACTTTTAAAAATAATTGTGGTTTTTAATGTGATGAATACGAGAGAATGACATGAAAACAATTCTTATAGTACACACGTAAGTACAAAATTATTACGCATACCTATTAACTCCAAATACAAAGCCATAAACATCTCTGAGTCGCTAAGATGCATGTCTTGGGACAAAGTCAGGATGAAATAGGTAGATCAGAAAAATCTCTCTATAACCTTCTAAAAGATCTGGGCCTGTCGAGAACTGCAGTAACAGGCTCCTATCAAATTTGGCCAGAAATGGCGGGCCACTCGAGCAGTGACGGTGAGCGTTGATCCACATCTCAAAGGGGGCCTCCTTAACCCTACACCTAGGTCCCAAGTCCCGGGAACTGCTCAAAGATTCTCTCTCTCCCACACGATTGACCCGGCACCCGCACGGTGAATCCATGGATTGCTAAGAGGATCGTCTCTCTTGCTATGCATTTTATTCCAGGCGTTTATTTCACATCCAAACACAAGTGAAGCGGAGAGCTAGTGGAATGGAATATGAAGGCCAGGATTTGAACGCAATGGATTTATTCACACTATTTTAAAGCAAGCAACCAAACAATATTAAAGCAGATGACAGGAAAAGACTATGACACACAGTGCCGTCTTTGAACAATTGGAGGCCCTGGGCATATTAGGATAATGGGGCCCCTATGACTTCCGTTTGGTGATTTAACAGGAACTAGGGACTTCGTGTTTGATCTGAGGGGGCCCCTATCAATCGCGGGGCCCTGGGCACTTGCCCAAAGTGCCCACTGGGAAAGACGGGTCTGATGACACACATCAACAATTTTGATAGCAAAAATCATAAAAATGTCAATACGTTGAAAACACTTCAAAAAACTATAAAAACTAAATCTATTAAAGAGGTCGGCAACAACAAGCAAAATCAATAAATTAATTTGGTGACAAATTATTCACCACGAATCTAACATATCTCATACTTAGTACCTACAGATGTAGAATGTTTCTACCATCAGTTGATAATTTGTAGTTAATTTTAAAAAGTTAATTTTAATACGCTCCCAATCCACCTTGGGAAACAACGGAATCTTCTTATCTATATTTATAAAACTCAAAGGTGACTGACTGACATAGTGATCTATCAACGCACAGCCCAAACCACTGGGCGGATCGGGCTGAAATATGGCATGCAGGTAGATGTTATGACGTAGGCTTTATAGTAGTATTTTGACCAATTCTACCCCCAAGGGGATAAAATAGGGAATGAAAGTTTGTATGAAACTTTGTCAATTTTAAACCGATCGGGCTGAGACTTTGCATGCAGGTATAAGAAGAATCATAGATAAATGTCATTGTGTATAATACAAGCCTGAGAACAAAAACTGTAGTCTACAAAAACTGTAGCCCCAGCAGTGGGGACATTAATAGGCTGATGATGATGATGTTGATGATGTTGATGAAGAAACGCCGGTCGGTCCGCACTTGGGAGGTCCGGGCCTTGCATTGCACAGGCCTTCGCAGATAGATGGGGATGCCCCGATGCCTCGGGGCATCCCCAAGTTGGGTGGGTCCGTTCGAATCGGATACTAGCTGGTGGGGTTGTGGATGTATCCGTAAGGGTTCCCATGGCCTCACATAGTGCCGCTGCCTCGTCGAGGGGGGTACCGCCTGATGGTGGATCCCGTCCCCGGGGAGGCTTCGGCCCATCCGTGAGATGAGGTTTTTAGTGGGTAGGGCCCCCTTCCTCTCGAGCAGTCGCCGAGCCAGCCCTAGGACTGGTTGGGCGGGTGTGCGAGAGGAGGAGGGGAGGAGTCCCACATAACCTCGCCGTACTCCCGAGGCGGTGGGGTATGCGTAACGCATTTCCTGACGTTAAAAAAAAGGTTTTAAAATACTTTCCCAGCCACGGAGAAGCATGTAGGGTGGAGTGGGGTTCCAGGGCTAGGTGGGGTAGAGGATTAGCCAGCAAGTTGTGGATGGCTGAAGCACGCCTTCTGCCGCATGATTTATTTTCGCGACTGGCCACTCTGCACTCCACTCCACTCCACTTACACTTAACATCGAGTTGGGTGGTAATTCGTTGCGTCTTGTATAAAAAATGCGGTCACCCATCATTTGCTAAAAGTTGCATAACTTTCACGATCTCAGAGCGAACAACAGATATATGTATAAACATACCTCAGCAATATAATTTTGAACACTGGTCCTATGAGTCCCTTTATGATGGCCGATGCGTTCAGGTGGCATCTTCCGTGCAACACAATCCCATTCACCTGAAACAAGGCAATCGGGTGAATTGAAGAAGTTCTCTTTTACACAACTAACATGAATATATTAATAATGATCCACCAATGAGCCTAGCCTCACAAGAGCACTGTGTAGCATGTGTAATGGGATAATAGGGTGAGTAAACGTTTTTAAGTGATAAATCATCATCATCCCTATGGATGGAATAGGGAGATTGGGCCATGACCCACCACGCGAGCCCAGTGCGGATTGGCAGGTGCTAACGATTGCAGATGCAGCCGGTACCAACGGCTTAACGTGCCTTCGAAGCACCAAGGAACTCAAGTCACCCATTCAATGGCCGACCAGTGCGAAAGTTAATTTATATAATTACACGTGTTATTGTGAGTCAACCATAAAAGATAGACATATGCTGTTGCGGAATATTTTTTAGACAATTTTATGTGGAATATTTCCGTCATACATGATTTCTATGTAACTTTAACCATAAAGGCTGCACACGCGACGGAAGCTTAAAAAATGGAGTAACTTCTCCCGTTTTCCCAACATTTCCCTTCACTACTCTGCTGCTATTGATTGTAGCGTGATGAAAAGTATACTATAACCTGCCCAGGAGTATGAAGAATGTTTGTACCAAGTTTCGTTAAAATCCGTTGAGTAGTTTTTGTTTCTATAAGGAACATACACACAGACAGACAGACAGACAGACAGACAAAAATTTTACTGATTGCATTTTTGGCATCAGTATCGATCACTAATCACCCCCTGATAGTTATTTTGAAAATATATTTCATGTACAGAATTGACCTCTCTACAGATTTATTATAAGTATAGATGTATATTTTAACCGTCCACTTGTCCCTGGTATCATAAGCACCGCAATTTACGTTATATCATGTTTTTATCGCGTCTAACTGTCAAACTACATAGCAATTTGACAATTGAGCGTGTTAAAAATTAGTTATATATCATATCGCGGTGCTCAGCCGTTATTAATATCGAGTAAAAAACTAACCAATGATATCTCTGTATCAATTATAAACATGTACGACTGTTTGTTTCTTATAAATAAAAAAAAATGGGTGCGTGTACTTATGTAGGCGCGTGAGAAGTTATCCTTCTTTGGCATCGTTTAAAATAAGTTTTTAATTGCATGCAAATAATTAATTACAATAAATTAATAAAAAGTCTGGAAAAGGACGAAGTCAATAAAGTTCAGTTTTAATTTGGAAAAATAAATAAATAATCAAAATATTCAATTAAAATCGCTACTGAATATAATTTATTAGAACATATGTGATTTGCACTTGTATGAAACTCAAACACGTATTCCGAATATACAAACTAGAAACATGTGGATAAATATTATAAATATGAATACCTATAACTGTTACTTTATTACAAAAAATAAAGATGTGGTTTTTGGTTCTACTACACCAATGGTCAAGAGATGGCGCTGTATTCTCCTGAATCGCGCTTTGGTTCCGTTGTTCCAGATTAATAAATACTTTTGATAGGCCTTCACAATGCAGTCGTCAGCACCCACTAAATAGAGATTCTATTTCTATTTTGTTGGTAGATTTTCTTAATGTGCGGTAAACACAAAAGTAACGCATGAAGTTGGTCGCTAAAGCGACCAACTTCATGCTGTTAAAATTTTGTGTTACAGTGATGCGCGCGCATCTTAAAATTTCACTCTCATCATTTTTTCATAACGCGCCTAAAGAAGTATAACTTCAAAAAATAAAAAAAACGCCAAAAATCACGTTTGTATATGGGAGTCCCTCTCTTAAATTAATATTATTCTGTTTTCAGTGCTTCTTGTTATAGCTACAACAGAAACATATTATAATTTATGTGTGAAAATTTCAACTGTCTCCTATATCAAGGTTCTTTTGAACTTAAATTTAATGATACTTTATTCAAATTGACTTATTTTATTTATTTATTTATTTTTATTCTTCATGCACATACTGTACAATGGCGGACTTAATGCCGTAGGCATTCTCTACCAGTCAACCATAGGGTGTTGTGGAGACTTTAGTGGCAGGGTGCACAACTGATATGGAGATCACATTTAAAGAAATATTAATTAAACTAGACTTGCAACGAATATTCGGTTACTATTCGGTATTCGGCCTATTCGGCTGCTTTTATTATATTCGGCCGAATACCGAATATCTACATATTATTCGGCCGAATACCGAATACTTAAATAATATATTTTGCCATAGAGAAATAATTGGTAAAATTAAAATCGATTGATTACGTATACATTCATAGTTTCATTTCTGTTATATAATCATTTAAGTAGTCATTGGTACACAGGTACTACATAATCATCTTCTGAATTGGAAAAATGGAGGATTCTATGTATTTGAATTATTGTGGTAATCAAAATTTAGAAGGGTAAGGTTCTCATTTCTTTTATATTCATTTATTAAGTAGTCATTGGTACATAAAACAGGTACATAATTTAATCATTTTCTGTATTAAACAAGTTAACAGTTTTTAATTCATTCAGTCATGTGATGAATGGTTACATAATAGCAATAATTTAAAGTTTACGCTCCGTTTTTGGCCATATCTCAAAAGTTGGTTTTGTCATTTAGCCGCATTTAAGCTTGAGGACGGCAGATTAGAACAAAACAAAGGAGCGCGAAACAATCACGTCTGTACAAGTTTTTGGCGCTAAAATACAGCCGAATACTTTTGCCTAATATTCGGCTATTCGGTCAGGGGCCTCGCCGAATATTCGGTATACAGTATACTGCCGAATATACTATTCGTTGCAAGTCTAAATTAAACTTATTGAGAGCTCTTTTGAATGGTCCAATATTTTTTCCTACCACCCATTCAGGACATCTTTTAGCTGATGAGAAGAATGGGCGAAAGGAACTCGTCAGCCTTAAACAAAAGTAGTAACATTTACAAAAAATATTAATAAATCATGTCGCTACCAATACAACGTCCACTCACACTTTGATTGCTGTGTCGTACTGTATAAATACAAACAGTGTTTATAATTGGTAAACACAGATAACATAGTCTTAGTAATTAATAGGTAACTAGCAAACCAGTGAACAAAATGTTCCTGATTTAAAAAAAAAAAAGTATTTAATTAATTGAGAACTTCGGAGATTTTGTGTGGTTTCGTTTGAAATTCGTGATTTCTCGAAAACCGGAAGTGCTACGTTACTCAAATCCGGTTTGTAGTCTTATCAGACTATTCTTAACTTATAACTTAAACATTCTCTTTATCTATCTCTTACGGTTTAGCCGCTGAAACAGCACCACAAACTGACGGACGGACGGACATGTCTAATAGATAAGAGATACTAGTTCGTACAAAGAAATTTGGTGACTCATTTCTTTGTCGCACTATCCGTAAATGGAATGACGTGCCCGCTCACGTGTTCCCTCCCTCTTAAAACCTGGGACCCTTTAAAAGAGGCGGGAAGAAGCAATAAGCATACCGGCAGGGTGAGAATGGCTATCAGCTATCTTCCCTTCTGGACTTCACCGTCACTTAACATCAGGTAGCGGGGAATCATTTGTCGGACCTATAAATACATAAAAAAATGACTCTTTTTTATCCTTTGTGTACCAAACATTAGAAAAGCTTAAATCTAAAGAAAAGTTTACTACAAAAAAATCCAAGCGGACCAGGCAGCGGACGGGACTCGAACCCGCACCCTTCGCTATCCGGGCGAATGCACTGACCAATTACGCTACCACGGCCCTATTCGCCGCGTCGAAATTTTCCTAGCTTTAAGCTGCAAGGCAGCGCCATCTCTTCGCATTGTAGGTAACCCACAATCTAGCAGTCAAATGCTTAAAAATAAATAAAAACGTAAATAGAAAAGCTTCTAAAAAGCTTAATTAATCAAAATTATGGACCAATAATAATGCCTGGTCTTCCAGTTTAATAGGTAAATCTGTTTGACTGATTCAATGGCTGCAGTTATTGGCTTGGTCGCATATAAAATATTTGCACCTAACTTTTAATTCGGAACTTCATCGGAGTTTGGACTAAAGCCAAACGGGCAGGAAGGAAACGCGGGATATGGGACGTAGCGGACATTTTTAACATTCTTGTGTTATAGAAATGACATAAACAATCTATAACTAATATTATAAAGCTGCAGAGTTTGTTTGTTTGTTTGTTTGAACGCGCTAATCTCTGGAACTACTGGTCCGATTTGAATGATTCTTTCAGTGTTGGGTAGTCCATTTATCGAGGAAGGCTATAGACTATTTTTTTTCAAAATTAGAGATCCGTAATAAAATTGCTATTTTGTAACACAAGGTGTAAAATCGAAAACCTATTTTTGCGTGCGCTGCAAAAACTATTGACAATAGAACAAAATGATGTACTACGGGTTTGTAGATCCCATTAAGACCTACAAAAAAGTCCGCGAGAACATATATCTAGCTATCATGGTTTAATCACAATAACCGATTTTGTGTTCAAAATAATTATTAAATCGTCTGAAGAAAAAAAAACTACGTTAAATATGTATCATAATATTAATCTTTATCGAAATTAAGCATTATGTTATCTCAATCGGATATTTCGTTTAAAAGTTATCACGTGTGTAAGATGTTAAGAGTTGGTACCTATATATTTTATCTCGGTATTTCCACGGAAACGAGAAAAACGCGGGTGAAACCGCGGGGCACGGCTAGTTTGAAAATATTCTTGCTTAAGGCACATGTCCTACAGCCGACGATAAACGAGAAGCGATCTGAGCTAGAAACTAAAAACAAGTTGGCGAGCAGCGAGAAGCGAGCGTGTGGTTCCGATAGTTTTATCGCTGGACTATAAGTGAGTGTGCGAGTATGACGGCCCACAGCTTTTAACCGTTTCCGAAAATACCGGTAAATAAAGGTTAATACCGGTTTTTAGATTAGTTTCGTTCGGAGCGCGTCCTACATGAAAGCGGTACCTACAACCTTAATAAACCGGTTTAATCCAGAGCAACATGTGCATGTGTCCGCATCGCTTGAAGTTTGTTTTGTTTCA